CACGAACGGGGAACAGGCCTTGGGCCTGAGGTGGTTGCATGCCCCCAACTGCCTTTGGCCTGTGTTTGGCCCAGTACCCGTATCCAGCCGAGGGCCTGCTTTCCATACATTCACACAGGCGGCCTAGGACCTGGGTTCCCTCAACCAACTAACGCCAGACTCATGCAACCTGCTACAGGCCCAATTTTGTGTGCGTGTGTGTGTTTTTTTCCTTTTTCTAATTTGCTTTTTATGGTTTTGATTTTTTTTTAAATACACGAAGTTCCAAAAAAATAAAATAAAAAATAAATTGTTGTACATCTTTGAAAGATCTACAACCCTATATTTTTTATTTGTTTTTTTTATTTTTGTTTTAGCCCTTAAAAAATCTGTGTGAAACCCAAAACAAAAACACTCATTTCATTTTCGTTTTTGTTTTTTCATTGTGTGTTTATGTTTTTAATTTAAAAAAAATAGATTTAAGCATCAAAAAAAAAAAAGCAAAATACAAGGTTGTAGTCCTCAACAAAACCTACAACTCCATATTTTTTGTTTTTTTTTTGCATAATGTTTAGCCTAGGAAAACAATCATCCTGGACCCCGTTAATTTCCGAATTCAACGCGCGTTGAATTTTTCAACGCGAAACCCACGTTAAATCCAATTTCAGACACACAGGCGACGGACTGTGGCGCACGGGCGAACCTGACTTGCATGCTCGAACCAAGCAGGGTGGCAACTCTATGTTGATACGCGGCGACGGACTGCCGGTATCGGGGGTGGAGAGAGAGAGAGAGAGAGAGAGAGAGAGAGAGAGAGAGAGAGAGAGAGAGAGAGAGAGAGAGAGAGAGAGAGAAAGCAGTTGTGGGCGTGAGATGAGGTTCTTTCCTTTGTTCATCTGTATAATTTTGGATCCTGATATGGCCGATTTTATCGCGGCCTTTTTGAACTTCTCTTTGTAAATCGTTTCGGATTTTCCTTGTCGTTTTTACTCCGTATGTATGTATGAAATGAATTTGAATTCCCTTTTTAATTAGTGATCTCTTCGATTTTCCAATGTTGTTTGCGATGCGTGCTTCGTCCTTGTCTACCATTCACTTGTGTGAGCTATACACTCAGATCTGATTGAAAGTGCTCGTTATGAATATTTGGGTTTAATCGTTAGCTTTCGATCACCAAGAAGCTGATTGTCCTTTCCCCTCTTTCCCCCTCCTTTTCGTCAAACATGTGGCATGTAATAAGGATATTTCACCCAACATAGCATGAATAGGATATTTGCATATATGCCAAACTCGATTGGTACACTGAGCCAATTCGCCGTTTCTCACGTGCTCGCTCGCATACGTCCACGATCTTGAGAAAGCCGAGTCGCCACTTACGTGCTTTTCCGCATGGGTCAGCCTTTACCCCGTATAAGGATGTAGGGGACCGAGCTTACTAAACAGATATGGCTGTGAGATTTTCCTCTTGGATGTCCGATCGTGAGAGCCTAAGGGACCCGGAATATCGCAAATACTGGGAAAATGAACAACTCAGACAGCGGGGGAAGTTAAGAAATTCGGAATTCCCCTGTCCGACAAAGAACGACCGATTGTGCGCAAGGGACTTTCATTGTGCCATAACTAACGATCCTAGGGGCCCCGACTACCCGGATACTTTCAACACGCGGCTTCGTCGTTATTACGACCAGTTTCCCTCCCTTTCACCTCCTCCTTCCATATTACCAGCTCACGGTGGTGCCGTGGAATTCCATAGCCCGCTATTGGCCCCTCAAACCGTGCGAAAGGTGCCGACGACACCAGGCATAGCGAGCCTTGAAAATCGCTCGGCAAGCCTGAACCGAAGCCGTGCGGCACCGACAAATGGTCGAACCACATGACCAACCGCGAAGGCGAAACCAGAGCAGATGGTGATTTCCATTTTCGGGTTTTGAAGCTGGCAAAAATTGAGTTCGTTGGCAGGGGCAACGTTGTTGGAATTTTGTTCGAGAATGCAAGTGTTTAGATCTATTGGTGCTGTGATTGCGGAAGAGTACCCCGGGATCTTAAATCCGGGATGCACTGCACATGCCCTCTGCCTTATGCTGCACGACATCTGCGGCTTTCCTTCTGTGCACAAACCACAAGAGATGGTTCATTTTCCTTCTTATAAATCTTAAAGCGCCAAGTACGACCTGAACATACCATCTTGCGCTTTTACCCCCGAAACTTGCCACAGGAGATCTCAGTTCCAACCTGGGACTCCCCACCCCCACTTTCATTAAATCCTTGGCACACCCCTTTTCGCACTTTCGGGCCCCCATCCTACTCCGATCAGGAAGTCGCGCTGGGCGTGAGGTTGGGCGTCAGAGGACTGGAAAATCCCGTCGTGCACACACACACACACACACACACACACACACACACACACACACACAA